ATCTAAGAAGCCTAGGAAAGCTCAAATCAAAGCACTTGTACAGAGAGTGATCCTGGGAGAATTATTGTAAACATGCATGGGGTACATACAGTAACTAAGCATTGCAGGGTTTGCAGTCCATGTAAATAAAGTGCTTCATTATCCAGAAGAATCCACAATTTCAAAGAAACAGCTCTTTGTCAAGGTTGGTATTGGCTGTCCAATTTGCTTTTTTCCTATGTCTCCCATCTTGCTGAGCTTGTCATTCACCATGATAAGCATGCTTAGGACATCTCCATGACCTGCCTTTTCTCATAACACCTCCACAAGGCAACAGACAAAACGGCTTCCATCAAGTTCATTTCTATAGGAGACATAGTGATTGACAGTTGAAAGCCAGCAGAAAGTCTGAATGATCAGGCATAGTCCCTTCCTTTGAATGAGAAATGACCCTCTGTCAGCATAACGTACTGAGGTGGTTGTTGGCTGTTGTGGCCTAGGACAGAAGGGTGAATCATTCACTTCACCTGTTTGCCCTTCTGTGCCTCTACAGGCTTGTATGAAAATAAGTTAAATTATTGTTTAGGCTCTCCTCTCAATGTTCTACAACTTGAACTCCTGAAAAGATCACAAACAGTTTCAAAAAGGACTGTTTGCCCATCTGAACCACAGAATAACTCCTCTTTACCATGACTCATGCAGGGGCGTAGCCAGGATTTTTCAAAGGGGGGGGTCACCATCCGGGGATCGCCGACTATATATGGTTTATACCGCTGCTCTCCCTCGTGTATCAGCGGGCTCAGTTGTATTATCGCGGCATGAAGGCCCATATTAACTAAAGACAAGAGCCGTTGACGAAAATACTTTACCAAAAAAACAAATTTAAAAAAAGAGGGCTTTTCAACAATGGCGTTTACCGCCAAGATATTGTCATGGCGTTTTCGCCACCTGAATATTGTAGGTTGTTTGCTCAAAAGAAGGCCTACCAAGGGGGGGTCACGGGCACCCCAGGACCCCCCCTAGCTACGCCCCTGTCATGAGGCACAAAACAAAACAGTCGTATTCAGATCAGTATGGTCAACATTTGCTACCTCATCTAAAACGTTTAAAATTTTCTCCTTCCTCAAATTCTTCTCAATAATGACTTCAAAATAAAGTGCCTTAAACAACATCTGCAGTGCTTCAATATCGATTTTTGATCCGCTACGATCTCTCAAGATCTCGCAGTCCTTGATCTCAGTACTAGGAGAGAAAACTTTATTGTTTATGATTAATGCATTTCATCTTGGCATAGAAGTCATGATCATAATGCTGATGATGATGATGATTTGATTATTATTATTATTGTCATTATAATTAATATGATGGCAATGAGGTGTGATAGTTATTATTACAAATTGTGGCATTCACGTCTGGAAAATGGCTCTTGTGTGGTTTTATTTGTCAAAACAATTCATCAACTTGGATCCACTGTGCATTGACAAATTAGAGTTAAAACTTTAATAGTTCTTCAGTTTAATACTTTTGCAGTGCAGTACCTACACTTATTATTAAAGAGGGCATGGGTTAGCTGCATATTCACCTCTCTTTCATGCAGTTATTCACTATCACACCCATTTTCTTTTGACTATTACACATGTAGGAGGGTCAAATGGAGTGAACACGGGACCTATGAAACGTTGAGAAAGGCGGAGGGTACTACCCCCTACAATGGTTTATACAGGAGGCTCCTCGCCATCATAGTTGGTAGAGGAGACAGAGGAGACTGGTTAGGAAACCTGGCAATATTAAAGTTGAAAACAATGGTGCTGTAGTTTATGTTGGAAGCTTCCTGACTGTGCACAATCCTTTGTTTTTTGTTCACAAATTATGACTGAATAAATTAATGCAATGTTTCTGTTGGTCAATAACCTAAAAATCATAGCAATGCTATTGAACGTTGTATATGAGTCCTTTATGAGGGTTACATAAAGTGTGTGTGTTAAGGTGTATAAGGGACAAAAACCAAACCCAATTTTTTACCTTTTTGGTACATATTTTTAATTGCTGTCAAACAGCTTACAATACAAATACATAAATAACTTATTTACAACTACTTAATAATAATTAAAAAAATGTGACAAAATGTTTCTATAAATACATTATAACAAGATATACATGTAGCCTAAAAAATACAAAATTATTTAGTGTGGGTGTCTTCACGTAACACATGAAACAGTTGGAGGTGAACAAAGGAAAGTCAAGAACTTAGAGTAGATCTTTTTATCAATATGGCGGCCATATTGAATTAATTCAATTTAAGGAGGGTGCCCAGGGGGCATGAGCTCATTTCATTTGTATTTTCGAGCACTTTTCGGGACATTTTTTCTTAAAGTTTTCTTAGAATAAGATTCTAATGGGAAAAAAAGATCCTTGTGCCGTGTTTGGATGTAATATTAAATGATTGCCTTTTTCTAGTTTAGTATTAGAAATATGGTCTTTCACTTTATATTTCTCAGGAAAAAGGCGATCATTATTACATCCAAACACAGCACAAGGATCTTTTTTCCCATTAGAATCTTATTCTAAGAAAAAATGTCCTGAAAAGTGCTCGAAAATACAAACAAAATGTGCTCATGCCCCCTGGGCATCCTATGATACTCCTCAAATCGAATTAATTCAATGTGGCTGCCGTACTGGTAAAAAGGTCTATTTAGCACTGATGCTGCAGTTATTTCATGAGTTAAGTAAAATCTCTCTAAAAATTAATGAAAACACTAATATATAGTAAACAAGACAGGCTGGCCCTTTCCACACTAATGCGTTCTCAAAAGTATGTGTTTTTGTTGTCATGGAAAAACCACATTGATCAATTTGCATCCCAACCTCGTTCCCAGGGACCCTGGGAACGAGGTTGTTTGCATCCAAAATACCGTTTTAATGTGTTTTTAATTTTCACACCAGGCTTGCTTTCACACTAAAATATTTGATAATGGTAGATTAATAGATTGATTCTGTAGCAAAAAAAAGCCTGGGTAAAACCCATGTGGTACATATGACATCATAATTGTTTCCAGTTTGAGGTATTTTTGACCATCCACACTAACACAATATGCATGTATAAATTATATACATTTTCATTTTGATCCCCTTTCAAGAGCATTTTCAAATCTATGCATTTTTTATGAAAATGATCAACGTATTAGTGTGGATGGAATTAATAGGCCTAAACGATCGAAACGGATGGAAATTATGCATTTTCAAATGAAAAAGTGTTAGTATGGACAGGGCATAAGATGCCCATATTAATATTATGATCTGGATCAGAATTCATAATCCTTGATCACCAATGAATCATTAAGTGCATGAAACATGCTGATGCATCCCTGTCCAGATGCTAAGTAGCAGCTTGTAGTTCCTTTGATGCACAATGAACTGATCAAGTTACCTTGGATCATAATCCTGATTCAGATCACCCCCAAAGGAATACATTCTGAATTAATTTTATTCTGCTTCATTGAGAGAATGTTCTCCAACTCAGTCTTCGCCCTCGGTGGATAACATTCTGCCTAATCTGCATAATTCTTCACATCATACACCCAGCCTCATTCAATAATTAACAATTATTGTTAACAGGTTTCGTACAGATTTTTGGATTCAAAATTCAAGACTTTTTCCATACTTTTTTCCCAAAACAATAGTTTCTTTTTCCAGACTCAAGTTGTCAAATAGGTGATCAATAGAGACCTTTAAAAACACTGGAACAAAGCTTCTTTCATGATGAGCTGCAAATGTACAGTCAAGATTGAATAAGATTTGACCAAAACGAAAAAGATTTCACTTATAAAGCACTTGTCGTAGCTTTGAAAAAAAAAAAGACTTTTTACCATTTTTCCAGACTTTATCACCATTTTCCAGACTTTGTCCAGGTCTAGAAAACTGCTTGGCAAATTTCAAGACTTTTTCAAGAATTCAACACTGTACAAACCCTGTGTTAAATACCTGACTGCTGACTCCTGCAGAAGATAACCAAGTATTACAACATAGTAACTGACAGAAGGCTTTAACTTTAAGGAGCTCTGTCATGAAAATTCAGCCACCAGGACCTGGTGAAAGATAAACATGACTGCCTAAAACATAGACCAAAAACACAGCAAACAAAAATTTTAAAGAAAGCGAGGATGCTGGAAAAATTAGAGGAGATTAAAGCAGATTGCCATTTGGGTTTTTGAAAACTGTTCAGCCTACAGTAACGGAGCTTTTTAAAGTTTATCTCTATTTTTTTACTCAGCTTTTGTTGTTTTTAATAATGCTCATCAGGGTATTGCATTTTTTTGCTGCAAAGCTCACTGAAAAAAAATCTGCACATATAATTAATATCATTTACATATTCTCTAAAATACTAAATACTAATTTTTAGTTTTAATTTTGTGTTTTAATGATTACTGCTAACAAAACATATTAAACCTACCAAATACACAATAATCTACCTTTAGTTAATGGACTGGAACACTTATCAATACTGCAGTTAGTCTTTCCACTGAGAAGCTGTGAGTTATCATAAACACTGTGACAGGAAATTTACTACATATGTTTTCCAGATTCTACTGATACAGTTTTCAAGGACATGAGAGTAGATTTACTAACAGCCGACCTGCTAAAATAAATTAATAAGACTAAAACATACTGTAGTACAGCAGCAAGTTATTAAAACCTCTCTATTGGGCTGAGTAAAATAGTTTTAGGAGTAAAAACATGTAAGGCTGGTGTCTGCTATTTTTCCTGCATAAGAAGTGTAAAATGAGATTATTGAAAGACTAGAGGTAGTATTAGTTACAAGTACTTTGAACCCCATAGTTTCGCAGACAATAGCCAGATTTACTCCCAGTCAGAGTAGCCTTTTTGTATCAGGCAAATTAAAGATTCTGGTGGTGTTTGCTCATCAACACAATTGTAACAACCTAGGCCTGTTACAAAGACCATAACTGCCCCTTTAAAGGGTTTAACCAAGACTCAATCGTTCAAAAAAGCTTAAACTAATTTTACTGTCCGATAGTATAGTTTTCTTTATCAAGTTTTTCCATGATATCGTTTCCTACCAAAAGATCTGTCCCAGGGGTAACAGCACCCACTAAGGCATTAACTTTGAAATGATGTTTTCGAATGTAAAGAGAGATCTTTACTCTGAAGCACTCCACGGGACCTCCAATTCCAACCATGCGGGACTTTTTACTTCTATCCGGCTCCAGGCCAAGCTCTTGGACAAAATCACTGGATATGGCTGTGCCTGCATCATTACCAGTGTCAAACTTGACTTTCTTCACAAGGACACGCTTTCCATCTCCATTCCTTATCTTCACTGGTTCTTCATCCATCGATATCACTTTCGGCCGGAATTCTGAATAAAAGGGGTAATAATGCTTGTTAAAAACACACAATGGAACAAAAAAGTTTAGGAGAAGAAGGCAGTACCAAGATCCTGTCTCCTTTTGTTAGAAATATATCCTCTGTTGTTTAATTGACCATTAGGAATAATGTGAACCACAAAACACTGGGCTGCTTCCGTTGCTAAATATTAAAATACAATAACTATATTGTTATAATTATATTGTTATCTTGTAAAGTCACCTTTCAGGGCTTGAGGAAAGTCCCATCCTGTAGTCCAGGAAAAGTAAATTTCTTGCTGGGCAAGTAAATTTTTCATCTTACTGTCCTCTAACAAAATCATTGACTAAGGCAAGCAAGAAGTGGCCCAGGGAAGCAAAATCTGTGACCTGCTTGCCAAAAAGGACAGGCTGGAATTCACATTTTGTTTCCAGCCCTGCCTTTTCTCATAATGTATAGGAAGTTCCTTGAACCTAGCTTTTGCCAAAAGTACTGGTTCCTTTTATTAATACATAATACATTCAACTCTCTTTAAGATGGACACCTTTCGGGACCTGCACTTAAAATGTCCACCTAAGAGTGATGTCTGTCCTTAATGGAGAGTCAGGAATACAGGGAAAAGAGAAATAATAAGAGTAGGTTGAGTTTGATCGTCCGGGTGAACGTAGTCCTGAATAGGACTGTTCTTGTTCTCCAGACAGTGACTGACGTTTCGACAACCTGTGCGGTAGTCATGTTCAGAGTCAAAGTGAGTTGTATCACGTCAGTTGATGGTATTTTACTCTGGTTATTGATTTGATTGGTCAATTTACATCGTGATGTTATTGGTCGTCTGTCAGTTAAGCCGTGATGTTATTGGCTATGAAGACTCATAATCAGTAATTGGTGCGTTTTAATCCGTCTATTGTCACAGTTAAACAGTCGTCTATTGTTAGTCAAATTGTCATTCTCTCAGGACTACGTTCACCCGGACGATTAAACTCAACCTACTTTTGAAATGACTCCTGGGTTCAAACCTTTCACAGAAATAATAAGATTAGGTGGGGACCATCTCTATATGTCTCTTTTATCAAGGTGAAGTGCCCGTTTAAATAGAGTGGACTGTGTCCTCTTTCATTTATTATCAATATTATATTCTATAATATTGTGAGACTAAGTGAGACAAAACATTTGTGTGTCTCCCTTAAGCTTATTTCAGCAAGCTCTTTTGAAACGTTATCTAATATCAGAGTATCTCATACACATGTTTTCATTCATCAGCTTACATATACTGTTTCTTAATAATTAGTATTTCTTAAATATAACAGTCTACATATTTAACACTAACAGTTCAAAAACTTACTGAGGATCAGGCCCTCACAGACAGCTGGATAAATTGGACTTCTCAGAGATACATCTGTTGTGCCAAACTTTATAAGCACTAGATCTCCAACATCCTCCTCATCGGTAACCTTTCTAGTTTGCAGAGTGACAGGAGTAGTGGAGAGCGTCAAGTGCTCTCTGCAGTTAAGCTTTAAATCTATTTGATGGTCGTCTCCTTTCGTATGAAAGTAGATTCTTTCATTTTTAATGATGCCAGACTTCAGGCTGACCAGAATAATCTTAGGCTTATCTGGTTTTGTTTGCAAGTAGAGTCCTTTCTGCTTTCCTGATACAGCATTGGGACACACTTCCTTTATGCTTCTGTAAACGTTCTCGCCATAAGCAAGTTCCATTTGTATTTGTTCGACGTTCTGCAAAATTGGAAAATTTAAAGATGTTGAATTGCCTCCTGGTCTTCAATTCGAAAATTCACTTTTAAAAATAACATGTCCTCCCATTTCTTCCAATATTTTCATTCCTTTTTTGTTAGAAAGAGTGCCTTAACTTAGAAGGAGCTAATTCAATTTGCTAGATTGTACGTCAAATGAATGGCTGATTTAAAAAAAAACAAAGATAATGACTGGGAAGAGCAGTCAAGAGCTAGCAACATTATTGGAAAACAAAAGTACAGGAGCTGAATTAAAATACCAGTAAACGAGGTTAAAATCAACGGCTAATCAAAGACATTCATGATTAATCTATGACAATAAAATTAGTGGGGCACTGTAATTGACTTCCAGCGATGTTGTTGTTTGAATGTTACCCCAAACCCCGGGCCCCAAACCAGGTGGTTAGCGTCGCCAATTAAATGTCGGGCTGTTTTCTGAGGCTTGGATCTCTGTAGGGACATATATAGAGGATTTTAGGGGGAATCACTTGATTTTTGGGAGAACAAAAGGGGAGATCAGTCGTAACTGAGAACCCAAAAGAGGGGATCACTGAAAACTTTAGAAGGATTCAAAGGCGGGGGGGGACAACTCAAATTTGCTTGGAAAATGAAGACATGGGGTCGGGGGCGGGGGGGGGG